TAGGGGTCACAACGAGGAGGGAGCCTACGATATACGAAATGATATATCGGCGGACATTGTCGAGCGTCTGCGTGTTCCGTACGCGTATAATCGGAGGATCTACGGAGGTCACCAAGCCGCTAATGAGTCTTAATGAACGGGCGTGAGAGCGCAACGGCATGCCCTTCGCCGATGTTAATTCTGCGATGTACACTAAAGGGAGCATTCTTCTTGTCCAAAGTCACTCTTAAGATAGTTGTTACACTACTAAATTACTTAAGATAGAGCTTAAAAACAAACAGCTACAAATACAAGTCTTTCCTGTATTAAGAATCCATATAGTAGACAAGATCAAATTTGTATCACATACACCCTCCCATTATTCTAAATATTCTTTCTGATTTAATCATCGATACATTTTTGCCCCACGATTTAGTCTTATTCAGAAGCATTCATTCAACAATACAAAAAGATGAGTAATTTGGAGAAAAAGAATTATACACTCGTGTGTATCGGCTGTTTGCCAGATTTTGCAAATAATTTGGCAAGTAATAATTGAAATGTCTATCTCAATCCACGACTCAAGGGACTGTATAAAACAGTAATTTCATCGAGTAAGCCACGATGGTTGCGACTGATAGAAGATTGAACGAAACCAGGAGGCTTTAACTGCAGCATTTGTAAGCAATTTGCGAGCGTGTGAAGCGGCGCAGGATTACAGGAACGTCGTGCTAAAAGCCACGTTTTAGCCATTGCGTTTTGGAGTAATTACATGCTTGATAACTCGGTCGATCCCATTGGCTTTATTCTCATATTTCTTTATCACCGACAGGATGAACACGATCGGATCCCGGGACCGTCTGATTAATTCCACTCCGGCCAATCGACTTTTTACACGACTCCTAAACTAATCGGACCTGGCAATCCAGCTGCAGCGCAGAGTAACGAAGTTTCCGACAGGGAGCGGCGACCTTTTTAGAATTTTTCACGCTCGAAAAAAGCGAATCGCCGGCCGCGTGTGTCCCTTGTCTAGAGGTGTAATTTTCACGTAATCTAATTACGCTAGGTCGAACAGTTCGTGAACAGGAAATTGTAACTACATCTAGAATACGGAAAAAATTAGCTTCTCGTGTTCTGAGCTCGGATAACGGATGAATAAATCGTATCGGGACGGTTATAAGATTCAGATTAAATACACGATTCTCGTATCAATTCAACAACGATTTCATAAAAGGAAACGACGTACAATATCCAGGACAATGGCCATTTTTGTCCACCGGAAAAAAGAGAGGAAAATCGAGTGAGATGATGTAATATTGACAAAAAAGGAGAGGCTATATTCGGGATCAGCTTCCGGCATTTTCTCGTTAACACGGTTCGAGGGATCCCATTGACACGCGAAATTCGCCATGGCAACACGCGCGCTCTCCACCCCTCGACTCCGCGCACGCTTCTTGCCCTGCCTGTCGCGCGAATCGACACCACAGGTCGCCACTCAGACACGAGGCATCCGATTTAAAAGGAAGTTCGACAAGTGGCCGTAGAATTTTTCACGTCGGTCAAACAAAAGAGGTTCGATTTCATTCGACTCGGCTAACTCGCGACGGAAGACGATGGAACGTCGGAAGAGGGAGGAGGCAAAGAGAAGAAAAAGAGAATTACATCAGCTGCTCGACAGCAACGGTTCCCTTCTTCCCGTTGCATCCACCCCCACCGGGCCTCGTTCCCATCGAGTTCTCTGCCCGTCCAACTTCTACGAAATTCAACCTCCTTCTCGCCCTTTTTGCTCCTTCTAGAAACGAGCTGAATCCTCTCCTACGATTTTCGCCGCAGCCTACGCGGGCTAACGATCGCAACACGCCTACCAGACGTGCACGACGCCGCCGTCGGATGGCGAAACGAATACGAGAAAGCGTAGACGCCGTGAATGAATTACCCTGCATCGTCATCGTATGAAATTTTGCCGAGCGAAAGAGAAACCCCTATCGTCATGTGTGCAAGGTGCGACTGCGATACGAAATTTTTTCATCAATTTCAATTCTAACGGAACTGAATGTCCACTAAAAAATACACACATTGTATATATTTCTTACATTTTTTACGTACTCAATTTTGCTATAAATATATAAAATCCAAT